AAATCATGATACGCAACAATCCGGATCGGAACATCACGTGACTGCCCCCTCGATTGTTGGTTATGCTGGTGCTTTTTAGAATTTTGTCTTAGTCGGCATTTTGATTTGTCGGGATTTTATCTTGGGATTTTTTTTTTGTCTTGTCGGGATTTTATCTTGTCAGGATTTTAACTTGACGGGATTTTATCTTGTCGGGATTTTATCTTGTCGGGATTATGTACATCGGGATTAGGTCTGACGGGATTTGTGCTGTCGGGATTTTGGATGTCGGGATTTTGTGGTAGATCCATGTTTACTACCCGGGCCTACCCTGTCCATGCGGAGCCCTAGATAGTAGTATAAAACCAGAATTTTTCGGGTATTAGTAAACTTAAAAAAAAATAAACCAACCGAATTGACATTGGATCCCGATCTGAATAAATGACTTAGTGCTAAGGATTTTTATTGAAAATTTGAACATGGGGATAATAGCATGAATAATTTAATTTATAAAATGAATCAAAAAAAAAACAATTTTTAGAGCCAAACGGCTGTAAAATCATCGATCAATAAGCACCGGATCTAAAAAAGTAAACACATTAACATGCGAGAGATCACTGAAAAGCTATCAAAAATGATCATTAGCAAACTGACTGATAGCATGGAAGCTTTTAATAAGTTTTTTTTTTTAAGAATGTTTTTGTTTACGAATTTTTTATTTAAAATTTATAATGTTCTATTATCTAACCATATATTTCAATATTTCAGAATTGCATCATAATAACCAATGCACCAGTTCATATGTGTATAGTTTCAATAAAATTGCAGATATCCAAACCGCATCTCTAGACTTAGATGATCCATATCAAACTTTCCTTTACCATCCGTGACACACCCGCAAGTGATCTGGGTTGAAATTTTTTGAACGTATCTAATCACTAGTGGGGAAATCATTGTTTATCTTCTTTGCCGGTATCAGGATTAAGGACCCTGACCAGCAGAGTACAAAAGCAGCTACGAATATTTTCCAGTCTTTCAAAATATAAAAGTGCATAAATGCTTGTAAGGTCAATGAAGCCATTAATGGTCTTGACATTAACATTCCACAACAGACGAATGAAATGAGGGTGCCCCCATGTGTAGGCCGACACATGAATAAATAAGGGGATGCTGAATCGGTAGGCCATGTCTAAGGACGAAGCCAAATCTTATGTATGTATCGCTTACATAAGTAAGGGTACCGCTGGAGTGTTAATTGATGGGATAAAACCAGGACGGAGAACTTACAAGACGTACATGCCAACGGTATTGGCATACACATCGGTGTAGGAATGTAACTCGGTGAAGTCGAGGCAAACCCAT